CTAACCAATTCACAATTCTAGTAAACAATTATATCAAAATTCATTTGATATATTCATATTCATTCACACAACATGGTTATAATCTAAATACAGAAAAAATCTGTAGAGTATATACTGATTAAATCTAGCTCTGAGACGCGTCCGCTCGTTTGATCGTTATTTAAAGAAAGTGAGATCTAATATTTTCGATACAATTTTGATTATAATGAGTGGCAAAATTAGAGTCCGCAATCTAAAAAATATTGTTTTAACAAAAGAAAACTACGATAACTATTAATGTAAACATTTTACAATTCTACCTATTTGTTCATTAATTGAAAAAAACGTTTCTTTTTCTAATCAAAAAGAACTCCATGAAGAATTAAGAAAAATTAAAGATACTAATAAAATATGATGATGATTTTTTTAAAGCAGCTCAGAAATATATTAATTTTATTAGTATGATTTTATTATTATTATTATTATTATTATTATTATTTAACTAGCTAGTGATGAATATTTTTTTAATCATAATAGAAGGAAGCAGTTCAATGGATGAATTATTAATAGAAACCCCACCTAGAGAATTCTCTGTAAATCTTGAAGAAATTATTATCTCTGACGAATATTCAAATAATTCATCAGAATCGTTAACTAATCATCCTGACCAATCAGATATTCAGTCTCAGGATTCAGACAATAATAGCGCAGCATTGGTTATTCAGAAAAATTCAAAGCAAATATTAAAAAATGAGGTTCATAAATTTTCAACTTCAAGTCATAATACAAAATTAATTAGCGAATGTTCAAATAAGGATTTTCAACAACAGCAACAAGCAATTTATATTTGTCATAACGATAATACTAATCAGTCTAATAGGACTAATAATGATAATATATTTAAAAATAACTGGCGTTTTATTGTGACTATTGTTGCACTTACAATAATCTGTGTATTTACTATAAAAGTAATAAATATTATTATTTGAATCAATTAACGCATTAATTCATGATTTTTTAAATATATTAAATAGAATAATATTGACAATGTCAATACCATTTGGCAATATGTAAGTATATCTAAAAAAGTTATTTTTAGTTCTATGATATTTAATTAACTCTGATAATCATTATGGTATAGACCAACGAAAGATTATTTGAGATCATAGAAAATCTTAATCACGTAAGAATAATTAATATTTTATTAAATAATAATGAAATTAGCGATACTCTAAGCAATTTAGCCTTAAATTCCTAAAAA